TTTTGTACAAAATAAGGAAAAGCTTTTTATATAAAAATATGACTCTCTCTCAGTTTAGTACCGCTTTAAAGTCCCTTCACTTTTACCTGCATTAAATTATCCTTTACGCAGAATAAGGGTTAAACTTTCATATTCTTACTTAGTACAAAAAAGCCTTTCTTTATCTCACTTACTATCAAAATTTACTGCTTATCTAAAATTCTTAAATATTAACCGCTCGTTTTAATAATACACTTATAATTGGTTTATTATAATTAGTTTTTCCTAATCCTTATTTATATTCTATATACCATATAAATTATCAAAATAACTAACTATCTATCATGTAAAAACGAAATCATTTTCATTATGTTTTCTTAGATTTACATAAATATTTGACATTTTTTATGTACATTGTACAATGCTTTACAGCAATCTTGGTCATGGGAGAGACCGTGACCAGATTGCTGTAAACCATTCGAAAGGTCGGAAGCAAAAACCAAAATGTATCCGCGAAAAATCCGAAATATACTTTTATTTACAACTTGCATCTCACCCTCGCTCCGCTCGGGTTCGTTTACAGCTAGATACGTTGGTTTGTATAGATTTCTCAGAGATAAGATATTTTCCCGCAGTAAAAAGTATCCTGTATGTTGGTTGAACCAGATACCCAGCTATCATCATACCAAATTTCATCAAAATCTGTTCTGCAGTTTCCTCGCGATGCGTTTTTTTTGCGTAGACAGGCAGACAAAAAATTTAAAAACTATATATTTAGCCTCTGTATCGATAATAATGACTAGCTATTTCAATAAGCTTTTCCAAAAAACATTTAATATACAGATTCGGTTCAGTTACAATTTTATTATTTGTGTAGATGTCATTTTCATCCTTTTTCAAACTGTCATATCGATTTGAAACTTTGCAGGGATATATAATTCAACTTGATTTATTGATAGGGTTAGGTTGAGGTTAGTGAAACTTTTCAATAGGTGCTTGAAAACTTCTCAATTTTAAGATCACCTGGTTAGTATTAACAAGTCCAATGAAACACACGCAGTGACGATGATCTAATTATGAGGCCAGAAGATACTCGTCGATAGCGTTTTTTTAGTTTTTTAAAACATTAATTATTACTTGTGTTCTAAGCTTTTGATTGAAAAAAATAATATTCGTTTAAAAAAACATCTAAAGAAATTATTATAACTGCAAAATATTCGCATAATTCTGATTTTAAAGAAGCTTCTAAGAGTCTTAACGTGATATTAGATAACCTGTAGCTCTTCCTCAATAAATGCGAAAAGAATTTTTCAAATCGCACAAGGACATCCAAAGATTAGCAAGTTGAAACAAACAAAAAAATCTTAATTTTTATTTATTCGTATCGATATTTTTAATGTAATTTTTTACTTTTTATCAATATCTATTAAAAACGTTATTTATAAAAAAGGCTAAGAAAAAAGTCTTAATCAAAAAATAGGAAAGTATTAAAAGAATGAGTGTGTATTGCCTACATCTATAATATGACAACAATTTTCAAGAAATTATAGAAATGAAATCTATCTGTATCTATTAATTCATTCCTACGATAAGAAGTATAAATTGAATCTTATTATGAAAATGGCAACCACTGATAGGCTCAAATTTTTCGTTCACTTCTAAAACGGAAGAAATATGGAAATTGGAAACAACCGAAGGAGATATCATAAAATTTTCATTTTGATACAGTGCCGTAGAAGCAATCCAATCTGGTAAGAATACACTTCTGGCCAGCAAAAATTATCGCCAATCTAAATGCTCACTAAAATGGAACTGAAGCTTTTTATTTTCTTATTATTTACCTGAAAATTATCGATATTTATTGAATATCATACTTTATTACATAAATTGCTTTGATATACCTAATTATTTATGACATTAAATATTTTAATCTATACATGTAATAAAATTGTAACAAAACCAAAACTGTACATTAAATATTTTTTGGAGAATTTTATTATATAGTGTGTTTTGCCGTAGGTATAAGATAATCTCCCACGGTAAAAAATAAAAACTTTTTTACAAAAAAATAAAAACTGACTTCAAACAAAAGCACTAAAAAGTAAAAAAATAACTGATTGGTAGTTTTCATTTACTATACATACCTAATAAAATATTTTCGAAGTCGGTGTGCTTTGGCTAAGTAAAAGCCTACGTATTAAATACATACCTAATCAAATATTTTCTAAATCGGTGCCAGCACCAGTACAAAGCAAAGCACACCGACTTCGAAAATATTTGATTAGGTATGTATAGTAAATGAAAACTACCAATCAGTTATTTTTTACTTTTTAGTGCTTTTGTTAGAAGTCGATTTTTATCTTTTTGTTAAAAAGTTTTTATTTTTCCCTTTTTAGTGTAGACAGTAGTAGCAAAGTAAGAATTCTAACGTTTTAGGCTTGTCAAATGAATCAAAATAAGCCCAAACTCAAAGTATCTACTATTAGCCATTGAAGAGTTCCACCTATCCACCTTCTGGCCTTACCATCAGATCAGGTCAACAATACCGAACCGTACTATCAACGGAAATAGAAACACTTGCAAAGTTTCAAGTCAATATGACAATTAGAAGTAGGTTAAATTCATCATTAGCTATTTTTCCACCCTTAGGGGTAGTATTTTTTTTGAAATTTAAATGGGACCAATCTGGAAGTATACACTTTCAAACAACACAAAAATTGTCCAAATCGGTTAATAAATGAGGGAGTTCTAAGGTAACAAACATAAAAAAAAACATACAGTCGAATTGAGAACCTCCTCCTTTTTGATGTCCTCCAGCCCTCCAACTATCTCCACACAAATAATCACGGCAATCTGTCACTCTGTTTCGAAAAAAGGACAAACAAACAAACAAACACACTTTCACATTTATAATATAAATAAATATAAGTATGAATTATAGCGTATCTCATTTCTTCCAGAATCAGATGTGAGTTTCGATGCGGTAAATATTATGGGGGTTTTCCCCGGATTAGAGTGTTTTCTTTATAATCATAATGGATCTATATTATATTATATAGGATTCTTAATGTATAACCTATTCATTGAATATTATGAAAATCTTTCTTTTCAAATTATCTGACGTACTGCGTTTACCCGTTTGAGTACCGTTACCGTACCTATCTTTTGTAAATTGGTATAAAAGAAAAACAGTTCTTTAATTAGATTTACATACATATTACATACTAGCGACTCAGCCTCGCTCCGCTCGGGTTCGTCTCTACTTACGTTTTAACGTTTAGTATAGATTTTTCAGAGATGAGATATTTCCCCGCAGTAAAACTATCCTATATGTTGACTCGGATAATCAGCTATCATTATACCAAATTTCATCTAAATCTGTCCAGTGGTTTTTCCGTGATGCGGTAACAGACAGACAGACCGAGAGACAGACAAAAATTCTAAAAACTATAGATTCGGCCTCTGTATCGATAATAATATCTATTTCAATAAGATTTTCCAAAAAATATCTAATGTACGGATTCGACTTTGTTACACTTTTATTATATGTAATAGATATTGCCTTGTCAAAATCTGCGATATCTGGCGGAGTCTTATAGAGGCTCGGTACGCCAGATTATTAAGACAATATCGGAGTACTCAAAGCAGTCCTCCTCTGAGGACTGACGCAGGTGTTCGAAAAGCGTACAGCGCGTATTAAAGTTACAAAAAACACATTATATTAGATTTCTAGGGATGTATTGTGAATAAAAAACATACAGTCGAATTGAGAACCTCCTCCTTTTTGAAGTCGGTTGATTAAATTATGACGGCCGTCGTGGCTGACTTTTGTTACGAAAAATGTTTTAATTTTTTTTTGTTATCCAAAATATTAAATTAAATCATGCCTATGTCTAATAATAAAAATCCTATTTATTCCTTTGTGATTTTATGCCATGTATAGGTACGCCATTCCATGAAATACTTAGATTTTATAAGCTAGCTTCATTTAAAAATAATTATTGTTTTCCAATACTAGACTTCAAAAAACGAGGTTATCAATTCGACACGTATGTATGTAATATAATTATTGAAACTGCTAAATATTCACATATAATAATCTATTAGGGTTTCCAAACAAATATACAAAGTTTTAAAGGTGGATGTATGTTTGTATGTATGTTTGTCCGAGCATTTCTCTGAAACTAGTAATCGGATCATGGACATTCTTTATTAATTTGCTTACATTTATAAATGAATCTAACTTACAATACTATTAAAAATTAAAACATATTTTATAAAACATCAAATCCAAATGAAAATTAAGCTCAAAACAGTCAACAAGTCAATCGTCCGTTACTGGATCAATACTTTAGGAGCTACAGAATATTTAATTTGATAAAAATATAAAATACAACAGTAAAAGTGTATATAACACAAGTTATAGAAAATCTATCATAGTTAATTTGTGTAGAAGTAATAATTACTTAATTTAAATATACCTATACTAACATTGCCCGCGGCTCCGCCAGCGTTCAGATGACTAAAAAGCAAATTCTTAGGTTTTTCATATTAGTATACTCTTACAATGCAGTTTTTGTATTTTTCTCAGAAATGAGATATTTTCCCGCGGGAAAAAGTATCCTATATGTTGACCTAGATAACCAGCTATCACCATACCAAATTTCATCAAAATCCCTCCAGTGGTTTTTCTGTGATGCGGTGCGGACGGACGGACAGACAGACAGACAGACAGACGGATAGACAGACAGACAGACAGACAGAGAAAAATTCTAAAAACTATAGATTCGGCCTCTGTATCGTAATAATGTCTATTTCAATAAGGTTTTCAAAAAAATATTCAATGTACAGATTCGGCCTAGGTTCAATTTTATTATATTTATAGATAATAATCTTTTTCTTTTACAGATTCTCACAGCAGCGGATGAGATCTTAATATTTGGTCTTACCCCTGGAATGAAGTGATTAACTTAACAGTGTAGTGATTTCAATAGTGTAGTGTGTGTGGTACCTATGTCATAATGTCGTTGTATCAGGATTTTAACGATACAGTTGTTAGGGAATATGGAGAGGGATTCCCCCTTTTAATGCCACGTTGGGGGTACGTTGTTTCGGCGTTCGTGTTATTTCTGATTGGATTCTTTGGATTCTTTCTAAATTTGATGGTTATTCTACTCATGTTTAAAGACCGACAGGTGAGTTTACAGATGAAATTTAGTACAGTACAACGTAAATAAATAGCTTATTTTTTTTTTAAATATCTGTATATGTATGTATACTTATAATAAACTAGAAATATAGAAACGTTAAAGCAGTTAGTACGTAATCGATGGACTCTATATTATAAATATATATGTTGATGATGAGTTTTATAATATTATGCCTTACTTGAGAAATTATTGATTCCCCATACAAACTTCCACTCCACTTTCCACCCCCTTAAGGGATGGTTTCCGAAATAAAAACTATGACTACGAAATATAAATATAACTACGAAATAAACTCCTATGTCCTCCTCAGGTTCTAAAATTATCTACATACCCAATTTCATCTAAATCGGTTCAGTGGATTAAGCGGGAAAAGAACAGACAGTCAGAGTTACTTTCGCATTTATAATATTAGTATGGATTATTCCTTGTTTCCCTGTTTTTATTTAATTTTATAGTGTTTTGTGTCTCTTTTATATTATGTGCTTGTATTGTACTTTAATGTCTTTCAATGACACAATACAAAGTGTTTGCGAAGTACTTAGACGTGTTCGATGGTTTCTGAAGTGATAATCTGCTTTTAAGTGGTGATAAAACGTTAGGAATTATTTCCTACAACCGTTTTACTGACATTTTACATGGTGAAGAATAAATAATAAAAATTGAGCAAGTGAGGGTCTGACTCGTATACCAAGGAGACAAGGAGAGCGTGAAATAAAACTGTAAAGACCTATCCAGACATACCATGCACTCTTAATAGAGTAATTTTCTTTTCCATTCCTCAGTTGCATCTATTACCACCACCAACATGGAGGGCCACCCATATTTTCTTATATTTAATAACTTGCCCTTAAAATTGTCTAAAAGTTCACATGTGACACCGGTTTATCAAATTTCAGTCATTCATTTACGGACAGATGAATATGACTTATATTTTTTAATTAGGTTTTAATTTATTGTCTTTTAAAATGATTCGACATTTAGCTATATAGCATATTATTATTAGAAACTATATAGTATACTAGCGACTCACCCTCGCTCCGCTCGGGTATCCCTAGGAACGTTTTAACGGTTAGTAGGTATGGATTTCTGAAAGATGAGATACTTTCCCGCTTTAAAAAGTATCCTATATTTTGACCCGGGTAACCAGCTATCATCATACCAAATTTCATCAAAATCTATCTTCTCTTAATGCGTTTCGAAACAAGCAGACCGACAGAAAATCTAAAAACTTTAGATTCAGCCTCTGTATCGATAATAATAACTATTATAATAAGATTTTCTAAAAAATATTTAATATACAGATTCGACTCAGAATTTTATTATGCGTACCAATAGATTATTATTTATATACATAATATTTCTACAGCTTGAAGAAAATAATAACAGTAATTTTAATGTTCTAATACTGAATGGTGATTTTAAAGAAGTAATAAAATACTTACCAGATTCTTTTTGTTTGTTCTGCAAGTAATGAACCTATCCATATTCTAATATGAGATAAGAGTAAATCCAATAGATATAAATAGCTCTAGTGGTTGAGCGGAACAAATCCACTTCCTCGCAATCTTTCACATTTTTAATATTAAGTAATATAATATAAAATTTAATTTTATCTCCATAACTACTCACATAAATACCCATCTCGTCTTATCTTATTCAGCCCTTTTTAAAGTCCCACTGTTGGACACGGGCCTTCCGCGAGGAATCAATGCGAGGAGGTTTAGCCACTACGCTGGTCAAGTTCGAGTTAGCGGACTTTACCTGCGTAGTAAGGTACTCTCAGACATGCAGGTTTCCTCACGATATTTTCCTTCACAGTAAGGCAAGTAGTAATCATGTTGAAAATGATTCGCACATAAAATATCAGAGGTGCGAGACCCAGGCAACCCGCAGCATTTGGTTTCCCAAACGAGTAAATAATACTCGTAAACCACTGGTCTATCATTATTTATTGCCTTATAAAATATACAAAGGAAGATATTTGACTTATGATCTAAGGTCGCAGATTCCTTCTGAGGTCAAGATCAAACGCGGCATAAAATATTTAATGCCCAATATCTCGATATTGTTGGAATCTCTTCTAAGTAAAGGAATTAAGAACTTTATTAACAATTTTTATTACCTAAGGTTTTATTAATAGAAATATAGCTATCTCCGAGTAACATATTTTTCATTGATGAACGGCGGGCCTAGAGCCATTGAGTTTTAGTAAAATAAAGTAATAATATTTTAATTTCTAAAAATTTTCATTTTAGTAAGAAAGCATCAGTATCACGTGCTCCGATTTAGACCAATTTAAATTGGAAATATCGTATTATGCAAATAGAATGAAAATGTTCGAATCTGTAAATGAAAATGTTTGAATCTGTTTTCCCTGAACGCTATAACATGGGGTCCTCAAAAGCCGTGTCTTCAGGTTCCTTAAAGGCCGGCAACGCATTCGCAACTACTCGTGTATTGCAGATATCTATGAGTGGCGATAGCCACTTACCATCAGGTAGATCGTTTGCTCGTTTGCCCCTTTTTACTATAAAAAAAAGTTACAAAGACCAAAAATAATAACAGAATGTCCATCAAATATTCGATAGCAATTTACTTTTTCAACCGACTTCAAAAAGAAGGAGGTTCTCAATTCGACTGTATTTTTTTTTGGAATTCAAGTCAGTAGTAACAAAGGCATTTTCGTATCAGATTCAAAAATGTCTTCAACTAATAGAAAGCATTGTTATTTCTGAATAGTATAGGCTATTTTTTACTTAATTTATCAATTACATATAACCAATTATATTATATACGGTTAATGGCCTAATGTAAATTTAAAAAAAAACTAAAAGGAAAATATTACATTTAATGTGCTTTTAAAGTTTCTTTTAGTTTAAAAGTAACTATAATTTCTGATAAAGAGTTTTCAGTAAGAACTTATAATATCAATATCTGTAATGCAAATCCTTACAGCCTATGAAGCGATGTCAAGGCGCCAGTGTATATGTAAATTAGAACCGTCTAATTTTGCGACCGTAGTAGTTCAGTGTACGACTGGTATTGCCTTTAATGAAGTTACAAATATTTGTTATTTCATGATCGAATTAACTATACAAACGTTAGAGACTGTCAAGTTAAAAAAATCTGCGATACTGGCAAAGTAAAAACCAAATAGAATACTTAGACTTTAATATTTTCTGTACAGTCTAAATGTGTACATACGTCTCTTTGTGTGTGAGAATACAGGAGAACAGAATAAGAAAAGAATATTATGCAGGTATCGGCTTCCACCTTGGAGTCACCAAATTTTTTTTTTAAGCTATTGCATAGCTTCTATCGCGGGCCTTGAGCGTGGGGACCGAATCCAGAAATTCCGTAACGAAAAAAACCAGACACGGTGACAGCGGTGATACTTTTTAGTTTTTCCATCTATCGATAAATACCAGAACTTTTAATGACTTTTTGAAATATCACGCTTGTCTCTTTAGTTCAGCAACCCGCCTTTAGGTGGCATTGGTTGTATTGGAAAACTACCGTAATCAGCTGTTTGTGAGAAAGTATATAGGTGTATAGGTATTTATCATCTATGTACAACAGTTAACATCTGTACTCGTATAATTTGTGTACAAAGTGTTTTAATCATATTTAAACATACATAAACAAAGTGCATTTATTAATGAAGAAAGTCACGAAAAAATAGTGAAAGAAAATGAGTTAGTACTCTATATACATTCATTTTATTATTATTATCACAAATGCAGCATTATTTTTTGTTTTGTTAATTTATATATAATACTGCTATAAAGATAACCAAAATTTTTGATACTAAAATAAGCTTGCATAAGTTGATAAAAAATGCTATGCAATAGCTTTACCGCGGCAGTCTCCGAGTGCCACATTTAATTTTTTTTAAATTACTTGCTTATACTATTTGTTATTAAATTAATATAATCATAGCTTTTTGAAAATTTTCTTGATCTTTGATTGTTTTTTTATGGATACGAAACGCGCAAATGACAAATAAACACACATACAATTTTAGGATATAAAATATAGACAGTTGAGACATGAGGTCCATTGGAACCAATGCCAAGTATCTTCTAGTACCTCATCGCTGTTGTCAGTTATTTTACACATCGTATAAGTCAGCGTTACTTTTCAACATTAATAATAATAATAAATATGTGGGGACATTAACACACAGCGCCATCTAGTTCCATGGTAAGCTACGAGGATTGTGTTATGGATACCAAATAGTTGATACACTACACATATATAACTTTAAATACATACATATTATAAATATAAACACCCATGACTGGAGTGCAAACATTCGTGCTCATCACACAAATGAATGCCCCCAGCGGGACTCGAACCCGCAACCGCTGGCACAGCAACTAGGATCACTACAAACTGAGCCAAACGTGTCGTCAAATCATTGCAATCAATTAAACGCTGACAGTTTTATGGGTACCTTGCCTTGCGGATATACGCTTGATGGTATTTATTGTTTTTCTTCTAAGTTTGTATTATTATAAAATATGAAAATATTTTGTAAATTTTTATTTTATACTTGAATTAAAATAATAATTTTATCTAGTAAGTCAAAATGTTTATATATAATATGTATATAAAATATTTATCAAGTGTAACACGTACATATAAAGCCTTTAAACAATCAACAACAAGCTGTAGCACAATACACTATTATAGAAAAAAAACTTTTGTTTAGAATATAAGAAATGAATATGAAAGCTGAAAGTAATATTCCAACAAAGCATTATCCCATTGTAATAATAAACAATAAAACGGACAGTCAGTAAGCAATAACTATATATATACTGTCCACAGCAAAGTTTACTAACCACTGACATTTTCCGCCGAACGAGAGGTTTTAATTAAACTTCACTGTGCGGCTTTACTGTTCGCAGTGATGTAACATTGCTAGTATATTTTATTCTACTGAAGTTTTTAACTTCAATTGGGTGATTAAGTATGTTGAA